ACTCAACTGAATGATAACTAATACTAATAGACCAAATACCCATTTCTTCCCATAGATCACAACTTGCTAATACGGAAGATTTCCGTCGGTTTAACCCGATCTCTTAGGTATGTCTAGACTTGGCCAAATCCGTGAAGTCCAGAAATACTTGAGCTAGTTCCAGCACCAAAACCATTCTAGCTATAGGAGCAAGGAGCAATTTTTGAGAAAGGAGCAATTCTTGGGGTAGATTAACTCTTTCAGATCACAGAATGACAGAATGTCAGGGATTGGAAGGGACCTCAAAGGATCATCTAGTCCAATCCCCCTGCCGGAGCAGGACCACCTACATCAGATCACACAAGAACGCGTCCAGGCGGGTTTGGAACATCTCCAGAGAAGGAGACTCCACAATCTCTCTGGGCAGCCTGTTCCAGTGTTCTGTTCCCCTTACTGGGAAGAAGTTCTTCCTCATGTTTAAGCGGAACCTCCTGAGTTCCAGCTTAGATCCATTTCCCCTTGTCCTATCATTGGATGCCACTGAGAAGAGCCTGGCTCCATCCTCATGGCAGTCACCCTTTACATATTTATAAAGATTAATGAGGTCCCCTCTCAGTCTCCTCTTCTCCAAGCTAAAGAGACCCAGCTCCCTCCGCCTTTCCTCATAAGGGAGATGCTCCACTCCCTTCACCATCTTTGTGGCCCTGCGTTGGACTCTCTCCAGCAGTTCCTTGTAGATATTAGCACGAGACTCTTTCTAAATCCCAAAATATCTTGGGCAACTCTACAATGTCCTAGACTGTGCCAGGAAGACATATCCATAACTTTCCTGTGCTTTGGTGCTTGGGATATTGGCTTTGTGTCGCATCAGTGTGCTCTCACTCGTCAGTTGAAGGAAGCATTTTGTGAACTGAGTGAAGAGAAACCAGGATTTTCCACCACACTCAGCTTTATAGATCACTAATCATAATTTGATACACTAGGAGCCAGGAGTCTGGTCATTTCTGTTCGGCTTTTGTGCTGCTTTGTGTTCAGTAAATCATATTACCTTCAAAAAACTAGCTTTGAAAACAAACACACAGTGTTTGCAGAAGTTGTTACCAAAAAAAGGTAGCTGACAGATATATAGTCCTTAAAACATACTCTCCAAACACCTCTGCATTTTCTGAACTTCCCTCAAAATTTTTGTTGCTTGGTGCATTTATAATCTAGAAATGAAATAAAAAGTTTTAAGAACGGTAAGTAAATAAACCGGTGTCTTTTATTCCAATTCCGGATCACGAGCCGTGCTCTTGCAGATGTGTGGGTTAGACAGGAGACATTTTGTCCCTCCTAGCCCAACACCTCCTCCCACAGCTGACAAACATCAACATGGTTTCACCCATTTCCGCAACCAAAACGCACGCCTTGCCTCCACGGCGAAGACCGGCACGCGGGGCCGGTACACAAGAGCCCTTGCCAGTAAGAAGATGCAGACTTTTTTATACTTTATAAAGTACTAATTCTGATGAAAACCAGAGTGGTACCGGACATCCTAAACCTCGCAGCCAACAACCATGACACGCAGACTCACAAGACCCTTATGAAACTCAGGGAGAGAAAAGCACGACTACAGAGAGAGAGAGAAAGTGAAAGAAGAGAAGAAAAACAATTATTAGTGTAATCTGTAAGAGACAAAGTCATCGTGGGACTCCCCACTCTAAGGAAGTTCTGAACTTACAAGAGTGAACTTCTCCAAGCACATTCAGCGTTCACACTTTTACTACCACTACACTTCTTGGACAGTCGTTTCATACCATTGTTCATCGCTGGAAAATACGGTCTGACGTGCAAACTGTAAAACATTGACCAAAATCCCATAAAATAAGGACTCGTTTCAACACATGGGAACTTTTGTATGGTATTGTAAAAGGCTGGAGCAAATTTTAGTCCACTTCTGAGAAGACTCATTATTTATCCAAAGGGGTGCCTTCTGCCTGAGCGCTGGACCACATCAGGAGGGGTTCTCCTTTCAGACGAGGTCCTCGCAGCTCTCCTCCTGCGATCCTCTCAGCCTTCATCCCTTGGCTGCCTCGTTCCTCCTCTGTGAGT